AGAGACAACGCGATCGGCTTTCCCGAGGAACTGTTTCGCCGAGTATTCAATGCTCAGTTCGTGTCAGATACCGACCTGCTGAATTTGGTAACTTGGGGAGTGGCATAAGTGCTCGGCTCATGGCCGACTTTTTACCCCATTTTCCTAGCATTCAATAGGAGGAGACGTAAATGGGAAATACTCATTGCACGAGGAATGGTGTGTCAAATGTGAGATGTCCAAATGGGACTGAAGATCTTTGGCAATCATTGCTAATTCATGTATAAATATTCCTCAGGAAAATAGACAAAGGTATGCAAACTCGAACTAAAACAGGTCTATTAAGCAAAACCCTTCGATCTTATACTGACTTAAGATTCGGAGGGAATCAGTCAGGCACATGCCTGGGCCCCCCCCCCCCCCCCCCTCTCCCACTCTCTCTCTTTCTCTCTCTCAAAGACACACACTCACAGAGCTGCACTTGTTTCAGTCTGCTCTGAAGCGTGTCCTTCCTTCCTCGGCCTTGACAAGAAAACACTGAAATGATAGATGGATCGATCAGAATCACAGCTTTTGCACCAAAAGAAAGAAAAAAGAAATCATAAAGAAAAATAAAAAGATATCGCTCAATCCTATATAAAAACTTGTTCCCCACCAAAGCAAACAACCAAAAGAACCCAACAAAGAAGAAAACTAAAAGCAGCAACCAACCCTTTCCTAAGTTATAGCAGCCAGCTCTGTTGCCAGAAACATGTATTTCCTCTGTATTTGGTGTCTTCCAGCCACTTTGCCTCATGTCAAGCCCTCTAGCTCCACTGAAATTGAGAAGCCCAGTTGGTGATTGCAGTTACTTGACAACCTTAGTTTACCCAATAAGATGGCTTCCAGAGCTTTCACCAACCCATCCTTATTTCCNCAAGCCCTCTAGCTCCACTGAAATTGAGAAGCCCAGTTGGTGATTGCAGTTACTTGATAACCTTAGTTTACCCAATAAGATGGCTTCCAGAGCTTTCACCAACCCATCCTTATTTCCAGTTCATATAGGTGAAGCCCAAAATGCGTTTGTACTACTAGCAGTCATAGAAAGTGCTCTCTTTTGAAGGTAGACCTCCGTCTTTCTGACCAACAGAAGCGCAGAGAAAAAATATTATATTGCTCTAAAAAATATATAATCCATTTCTTCAACATGGAAGCTTTTCACACTCCCATCAGCATACCCATTTCATTCACTTTTGGAACTAGTGGAGGTAGTAGTAGTGGCGCCCCTACCACCCATTCCAATGCTAGTCCTTGGATGGACTGCAGGATATGGTGTAGACTCCCTCAGAGGTTGATTGATCGGGTGATCGCCTTCCTTCCACCACCAGCCTTTTTTCGAGCCCGGTCGGTCTGCAAAAGATGGTATGGGCTCTTATTTTCCCACACCTTTCTTGAATTATATCTGCGAGTATCACCTCGCCGCCATGGGTTTCTATTCTTCAAGCTAAAAAACCCCAAGACCCTTATCTATAGGAACAATGGTGGTGGAAATGGCAGTGAAAGAGTCAACTATGAAGGATACTTTTTTGATCCTCAGACCATCACATGGTACCGTTTTTCTTTCCCATTGGTTCCACCGGGATTTTCTCCTGCTTCATCCTCTGGTGGGTTAGTCTGTTGGATGTCTGAGGATTCTGGTTCCAAGGGTCTGATACTCTGCAACCCACTTGTGGGGTCCTTAACTCCATTGCCTTCAACACTCAGACCTCGGCTATTTCCTTCAGTAGGTTTAGCTGTCAGCAACTCATCCATCGACATAGCAGTTGCTGGAGATGACTTGGTCTCTCCTTATGCTGTGAAGAACTTGTCCACAGAAAACTTTCATATTGATGGAGATGGGTTTTATTCAATATGGGGCACAACTTCCTCCCTTCCTAGGCTTTGTAGTCTTGAATCGGGTCGAATGGTTTACATTGAAGGCCAATTCTACTGCATGAACTACAGCCCATTCAGCATTTTGGCTTACGATGTCAACACAAACCATTGGTGTAAGATTCAAGCTCCAATGCGTAGATTTCTTCGTTCACCAAGCTTGGTTGAGAGTGGAGGGAAGCTTATTCTAGTTGCAGCAGTTGAGAAGAGCAAGCTTAATGTGCCAAAGAGCCTAAGGCTTTGGTCGTTACAAGCCTGTGGGACATGGGTAGAGATTGAGAGAATGCCACACCAACTTTATTTTCAATTTGCAGAGGTTGAAGGCGGACATGGATTCGACTGCATCGGGCACGGGGAGTTCATCATCGTTATGATTCGACGATTGGGGAAGGCGTTGCTGTTTGATTGCTGCAGAAAGAGGTGGCTATGGATTCCTCCATGTCCCTACGTTCATGGTTCTGGTGGCAATGGAGAAGGTGGCGAATTGCATGGTTTTGCCTATGAGCCAAGACTTGCTACACCTGTGACTGGACTTCTTGATCAGTTGACACTTCCCTTTCAGTCATTTCATGGATAGCAGTTCTTAGTTTTTCATGTGACATTTAGGTATTTGTTGTAAAAACAAATTAGTCGCTGGTGGTTTGCTGTTTATTTGTTAATGTACGTAGTAAGGTGTAGTAGAATAGGTAGCTTGTAATAGTTTTAGTGCTACGATAGTCAGCCATTAAGGAGCTACTTGAACTCATACCAAGTGGATCTTATCTATTTATATGTATGTGTGTACGCGAATGTTTAATTAGCCTCCACTCTGTAAAAGTTCTTTTCTTTGGGTTCACTCTAGTGATTTGAGATGTCTTGAACAAAAAAGAACAATCAAATGCTTATGAATAAACGACCAAAACAAAAACAAAAAATTGCGTATGGATAACCTCCAGCCATGCTGAGTTTTTTTTTTTTTTTTTGGGCACAGAATCAAATGGCAAAAGAGATGAAATAAGTTAAAATAAAATAGAAAGAGCGATTAAGTGAGTAGAAATGAGCCTATAATATATACCAGCCCTTAAAATATGGAGTTTTTTTGTGGTTGTTCATACTGATATTTTATGTTGATGGTGTGTGAATCGTAATTGAGCGGAATATGTATACTATGGAATTTGATCTGAGCTACAAGGCTCTTAGGAATAATGTTGCAACTTGAGGGGTAAGGGGTGGATTGCACAGAGGAGTTATAATGGTTCACTAGCTCAGGAGCTCGACTAATTCACTCTGTAATGGAACCTCTTGCTCCTGAGAATTATATTGAAGACGAAGAAAAGATTACACAGGCTTCTTGGTCCTATTTTTTATTGCTTGCCTCAAACTGAGGATTTTGTATAATATTTACAACTTAATTCCTAGTTCCCTGGGGTCCGAGGCAAGATCTTCACCTCTCTCTTGTAACGTTTTGTTTGATTTCAGGCGAGGGTTTAGGTGGTTGAGGTTATCGCGCCTAGACTAGCGTTTAATGCCGTTGAGGGGGACGTTTAGTGGTTGTTAGCTAGCTTCCAATTATTTTCTTTGAGGTACAGGTCGAGGGAACCCAAGGTCTGGACCTCTGAACTCGGGCTTTCTTGGCTGAGCTCCCTTCTTAACCTTAATACTTGAGCTCAGACTTAGAATTCTTTTAGGTATCACTAGTTGCCCTCTAGTCCCTGGTCAAAGTGGCTTTGAGTGGGTGTTGAGCTGCGATTGGGTTGAGTTAGGTATCCTTAGGTCGACCTCGATTTGCACGTGATAGGATTCCATTCTAACGGTTTTACCAAACGTGCAATCATTCCTTCCTTGTTTCTCGCACACATCCCATATTTCGAAGGCCCGTGTACACTGAGCTTTAAATGCTCCGACAACGAGGTAAATCGTCTCTCTTCACCTTTCGACTTCTCTCTACAGGCTTTGCTCCTTTTCTTCCCTTGCGATTTTGGTTTCCTCAATCGGCTAAAGATCTTAGGGTTTCAATGGAAAACAAATTCCTCCAATTTGACTTGAAGATTCTATGAGGCTTGCTCTTCGATTAAGCTTCGGGCTTCGATTTATCGCTCGCTCTTGGTTAGGTATGCTTCTCGGCTCTATTCATTTCTTTGTTCTGGATCCCTAAGNTCGATTTATCGCTCGCTCTTGGTTAGGTATGCTTCTCGGCTCTATTCATTTCTTTGTTCTGGATCCCTAAGATCTGAGGTGGTTGCTGCATTTTTAGACCTTTCATTTTTACTACTTTAGGAATCGAGGTTACTCCTTGTCCTCCCTTCCCCTCTTTTTGGACCCTTATTCCACAGATAGAGTCTTCTTTATTGGTCATTGGAGTCTTCACCCCTCAACTCTCAGGGATTTTTTTGCTAACGCCCATTTCCTTATTTCTCCTTTTATCTCCCTTTTTTTCAATCCTATCATGTCTGGCTCTTCCGAAACTACTACTTCATCAGTCTCTCTTGCCATGGGCGAGAGGTCTGCTGGGGAGGAGGACATTGATTTAGGTGATGTAGGCGATGATATTGATAATTTTCTCGGTGTTGCTTTTGTTGATGTTGGAGAAGAAACCGAGGAGCTCTCCGCATCATCTTCCCTATGCCTAAGAAGTCTAGGAAGGGAAAGACTAAAGTGAGTGACGTTGGGATTTCTGGCAATGCTGGGGACACAGTGGTTGCCCTCCCCCCCGAGCTTCAGGCCTCGTGGGTTTTAGTGAGGTCACGCCCCCTTTCATAAGTTTTTTATCTGCTNTTGGGATTTCTGGCAATGCTGGGGACACAGTGGTTGCCCTCCCCCCCGAGCTTCAGGCCTCGTGGGTTTTAGTGAGGTCACGCCCCCTTTCATAAGTTTTTTATCTGCTTGTTACGGCTTTTCTCAAGGAATGCACTATTGGTGTCCTCACGTGGACGTTAGGTACGACTCCCAAATCCCTAAGAAAATTTGCTTCTTTGTGGCCGCTCTCGAGAACGACCTTCATTTTCCAATGTACCCCTTTCTTAAAAGTGTCCTCTAACACTTCAACGTTTGTCTTACTCAACTTTTTCCCAATTTTTGGGGTATTCTGATAGGTCTTCTTGTTTTCTTCAAGAAGCACGAACTTGGAGTTCATACCACCCCTTTTCTTATGAAGTTTTTCAATGTCAAGTTCACTCCTTCTGATGGATTCTTGTACGTTTCCAAACGGGTAAAAGTCTGAGCTATCATTACTGACCTTCCAAGCTCCCACAAGCGTTGGAAGAAGCTTTTCTTCTTTATGTCAGGAAAGAGAATGGGAGTTCAATCCCGGTGATGTAGTTGACACCCTCCCTGTGCCTCGGGCTTGGTCTGCCCCTAATAATCTTGGTAAGCCCTGCGAGTAAGCTTGGATCAACCTTGATGCTTTATTTTGTTGACCTTGTTTTACTTTTTTTTTTTTTGCTCTTTAGGTATTCGACCCGAGTTCATGCGAAGGATAAACTAGTTCCGCTGGGTTTAAAGGATTATGAGTCAGAGAGGTATTCCGAGCTTATTAAGCCCAAAGTGCTTACCAAATTTGAGTTTAGTCCTCTAGAGGTGACGGTTGAGACCCCTATTCCCATTTCTGTAGCTGGAGTAGAGGAGGTGGTAGGGAACACTTCCCTCTTTTATCCTTAACTTATATTTTACTTCTTTCTTCTTTCTGATCCATTTGTTTTGGGTTTTCAGGTTCTAGCTAAAGAAAGGCAAGAGTGTGAGAAAACGCAAGGCCGAGGTTGGGTCAGGAAGTGATTCTGCCCCCCCCCCCCAGCCAAGGTGCCGAGGTCAAGAATGCCTCTTGCTTCTCCCCTTTTTTCCCAAGTACTTCCTATTCGACCGTCAAGCTCACCAAAGGTCGCACAAACCTTACTTTCCTCAAGGGACCATGTCTTTCTCTCCTGGAAGGGGACTTAAGCAAATCGCATTTTCAACCTCTCCTTCATCTGCAAAGGTCAAGGGGGCCATGGAGACGATTGCTCGCATCCTGCCTAAGTCTTCCTCTCCCAAATCGGCTGAGAAGTCTCATTAGCTAGTTCCGAGTGACTCTAAGGTTGAAAAATATGAGGGCTCCCTTATTGAAAGTGTGAAACTTGTTACGGAGGCCATTACCTCAATCATTCCTAAGTTTGATATCCAAAGGGCTACCACTATGGGCCTCTCTACTTCTGTCACCTCAGCCTTGTATGGTGTTACTTCGGTAAGTTTTTGGTTTTCTCAAGTTCCATTTTTGTCTTGCATCGTTACTTCGTGCTGAATTTAGCTTTTGGTTGTATTTGCTCCTAGATGGTCATTCATGTGAGTGGTTTGGTGAGTCGAATCAGAGCTCTGGAAAGCTCAGCCAAGGCGTCGAAGGCCTTTGAGCTCAAGGCTGTCAAGCTGGCTTTTGCTAATAATAATCTCAAAACCCAAGTTTAGGACCTATAGGCACAGGTGGAGGGGTAGTCTTCTGTTATTAAGGGTTTGGAGACCGAGAAAGAGAAAATCAAGGATGAGGCCAAGAAGACCAAGGAGTAGCTCAGGTTGAGAACTGATGATTGGGTTAAAGCTTGCAAGGATGCCTTCACGACCTTGGATTCTTATGAGGTCATGAAGAAAGAATACGACATTTTGGCTTAAGTCAACAATACTTTGCAGAGGAAGATTGAGGTTGAGAGATCTGCTATTAAAAAGAAAGATGCTCTGATTGCCAAACTGGAAGATGATGTTACCACCAAATGGGCCATTTGGTATCTTGCTTTGCAAGACAAGGCAATGCAGATGTATCCAGACCTGTACTTTGACTTTGATCCCCCTTCGGACAAGGAGGAGGAGGTGCCAAGCGTTGAGAAGGAGGTAGAGATCTTGGTTTCCCCTATTTATGAACTTGTTCTTGGGGGCGCTGCGGTGCCTCCTTCATCAACCGAGGTCCTGGCCTTTGTGGGTACTGGGGTGTCTGCTCCATAGGCTGAAGTCCCTTCTCCTGCAGCTTCTTCTGTTCCAGCCATTGTTTCCAACTTCCCTGGGCTTCTTGAGCTNTTGTGCTTTATAACTCAATTAACTCCCGTGTCAACAACAAGTTAATCGGAAGATAAAGATGGACTGTGTGAATTAAGCACATGATTCTGATACCTTTCCAGAAGTTTACAAGAATTGTATGTGCCAAGATTCAACCCGTCTACAAACAAGCAAGTGTTTCTACAAGGTATCCAACCATGGCGTTAATGCTCCATTCTTTAAATAAAGCAAAATAATGGTGAAGATTGAAATGTTGTCATGAGGATCTAGTCAGGGTAATTGCTTTAAACCAATGAGTCTTTCCATGGAAGAGTCATCCGTGTCATAGAAAGAACCCATAGTTATACAAAGTACCTTAGCTTTGCTAGATGCATTCAATCATTCAATAAGTGAAATATAAAACATTAAAGCATAAAGAAAATGCACAAATATAACTTTTGGATAATCAATACATGTTCATGACCTCTTACTAAAGAGTGAATGAGGAACTACTCACTCTTCATGGCTTGGTTAAAGCTAGAAAAGTGAGTAATATTCATCCCTCCAAGTAAAGGAGTTACGAAATGAAAGCACAATACACAAGGA